AACAGCGAGCGACTGGAAATAGTAGCGGGTGGGAGAGCCGGAGAGAAGTGTGTGTGTGTGTGTGTGTGACTGCTTGTCTTTACTGCGTGTGTGAATGTCACTGCGTGCGGGTCACACTGTGTATGTGTTACTGTGTCTGTGATACTGTGTTGTGTTGTGTGTATCATTACACGTGTAACACTGTGTGGTCTCACTGTATGGAGGGGGTGTCACTGTGCAGGCATAGAACTAAATCCTCCATCTGGCACAGATCTGGCCACACACGTGAGTGTGTGATCCACGCTCCCCGGATCCACCAGCCCATCCTTCCCCCACAGCAGGGGCTGAAACCCAGGAGTCCTGGTTCCCACCCTCCTCAATCCCTTCCCCACCCTCAAAAAAACAAAAATCAGACCGCACCGTCTCCTAGGCAACAATCAATCACTTCATAGTGGGGTAGCTGGTTACCGAGGGACCCCCTCGCCCGGTGCTGAGATGCCGCCACTTCTAGGGCGGGGCTGGCTTCCCACCTGAGCTGAGAGACGGGCTAACAGGGCCAGGGCCGGTCTCTGTGGTCAGCGACTAGACTTGGCTGCGTGGATTCACTGATCCTAGTTAGGCAGCTGCTGCCCCCGCCTAGAGCCGCGGGACACCAGCACGTGATTGGAACAGCCACCCCATGAGCTCTCCTCTTCCCCACATCTGGCCTCCCAGAGCATCGGGCCAGGAACCGGCCAGGGCTGGAGGCGGGTTTTCAGCCAGGTCCGCTCCAGATGGCTCTGGAGACCTCCAGGAATTTGGCTGCAGCCCTAGGCAATCACCCTAGACAGCTTCATTCCACAATATCCAGGGGGCTGCGGGTTCAGCGTGAATAAGTGGTCTGAGCTGCTGGTGTCTGGGGCTGGAATGGCAGGGGCTGCCATTCAGGAATGAGACATAGGTTTGATTGACTCCGGAAGAAACCTATGGTCATGTAGGGATTAAAATCTTCTTTTGTAAAAGTGTAACAAGTTTGCGTTGGCCGGGAATCGAACCCGGGTCAACTGCTTGGAAGGCAGCTATGCTCACCACTATACCACCAACGCTCTCTGAGAAATATGCTATCTGCTGGTGGTAGTTGAAGCTCATGGCTCATTCAGCTTGTGAGCTGTTTCTCTCCCTTCTCTATTTATTGCCAGAATCTGGGCACAGCTAAAATGCTTCAAAAAGTAGTTCTGGCAGCGGTGGGATTCGAACCCACGTCCCCAAAGAGACTGGAGCCTAAATCCAGCGCCTTAGACCGCTCGGCCACGCTACCACCCAGGGTTTGCTCTATTGTTGGATATCAAAGGGGGAGGGGGAGAGAAGCAAAGAAAAAAAGTGTATGTAAGTGTGTGTCAATTACTCAGTCAAAATGTGTCAAGCCAAATCTAGAAATTGAACTAACTGCTGCTTCTGCTTGCACAAGTCTCCTTCACAATGCTTGGGCTGGTATAAACCAACTAAACTTTTCCAAACTGCTAGATCCCTTATTGTGCATGCACATGCCTGCACACACTCTTGCAGGCTATATCTAGACTATGGAGTTTTATTGGAAAAAGGTACGCACATTGCACTCCGCAATCTGCATATCTTTTTCCAATAGTTTTGTGGGAAGAGGCTTTTCTGAAATTTGGCCTATCTACACTAGGCCAAATTTTGGAAAAACCTCTTTTCAGAAGAGCCCTTCTTCCTTGTGGCTTCCAAAAGAGCACGTCTGCTCTTCCACAAAAAATGTCTGAAGAGCAAACGCATTCTCCATAGTCTAGACAGCCTGACACAAAAACACCTCACTTGAAAAATTGGGCATAAAAACTACAGCCAGGGACACCACATTGAAAAATGGCTGCCTGTCTCATTGGCACCAGATCATAATAAAATAAACCTTTTGGGATATAAATATAGGGCTGACATTTCAGTAGCCAGCATCTAGAACAGTCTGCACATATCACACAACATTTTAATTTGCACTGGCTTTGCTAGACTATTGTAAAAACCTAAATGAGTTGATAGACCCCTAGAAAGCCTCCTCAAGGATACACAACCACAGCTTGAGAACCACTGATAGAAACACAGCTCACCTCTTTTTTCCCTTTTCAGCTGCATGAAGAAAATAATTCCTCCTCCAGGGAAATCACAGATTTGGAAACTATTTTCCCCTCCCCATTCAGGTCACAGAGTCAAGAGTTTAGGAAAAGTTGGAAATACAAAACCAAAATAAACAGAAGTGTCCACTTTCAATTTCAGCCCTTAAAAAAAAACCCACCCAGAATTAGCTCCCCTTTCACGATAGAAAGTTGGCTTTCAGTGGGAATTTTCTGCTGAGAACATTTTTCACCTTTCACATTCAGATTATTTCACTTCATTTGAGAAGTTTGTCTACATTCAGCCCTTTCCCCTGGGCTACACCATGGTTATGGTGGATCACACTGGTATGGATCCAAACCCAGAAATTACTCCCACTACCAAAGTTACTTGCCATTTCTGGCCTCATCCCAATGTAGCCGTGATCCCATGTTTTCCTCTAATCCTAATCCACACTACATTGAAAAGGCTGTGCTAATGCAAACCTGTCAACTCAGATTTAGCACTCATTCCTAATCCTGTAATGCAATCCACATGCAAAAACATTGCCAATTCTATTCTGATTAAGGCTCATTCAAGATGACAAATAACTAATGTCTAATCCTAGGCCAAGTAGTCAATACCATCTTTGCTAATTTTAATATAGTAATCTCAGTCACAATCCCAAATGTAATTCAACCATTGCTAATCCAGTTGTAGAACACCCAGAACCTGGTGCTAATTTCAATCCACACCCAAATGCACAAATTAATTTCAATCCAAATCTGGAAATTATTCCTCCTTTTCAGAATTAACGTAAATGCTATTTTCATCCCTTCTCTGGACATGACCCAGACCTAGTACTAATTTCATGTCTTAATCTGAAATCCAAGTAACTCCTAATCCAAAATCTGAAATCACTTGCCATGTTTACAAGAGCAGAAATACTAATTTGATCCTAAAGACAAAGATAAATTCAGTTCCAATTCTAATCTAGTTCTCAATCCTAATCCCATAATAAATATAATTCTCATCCAAATCCAACTGCTAATTGATTTAATTTATTTCCCTACTAATATAATGTTAAACTCCTTGTTAACCACTCCCTGGTACACACTTGGCTTGATGTGTCCTGGCTGTTGGTGTGCTGAGCTTGATCATAAGCACCAAGACTGACAGCAAGCTCATCATGGAGCAAGTCACCCAGATCAATGCAGGGAGGCAAGAATAAGCTGGAAATAAAAGCAAAACTGAGCAGGCAGAGGCCTCCACACCACCCTCAGCAAGAGGTGCAGAGCGATGCTGGTAGCACAGTTCTAACACAATGGTTCTGTAATTGTTTTCTACCATTGTAACATGTTTAACAACTTAACTGTAGCTGGGCAGGGGATGACATTTTTGGGTGTAAAGTACAAAAATAAAGCGCTGTAAAATTTAAAACAAAAATCCAGTTTTCTCCAACTTTCAGTTGTGTTGACGTACCCCCTCAGACTCTGGTTGAGAAACACTGCTAGGGTTGCCAGGTGTCCAGTTTTTGCCCAAAATAGTCCAGTATTTGTGGTTTCTGTCAGTTTAAAGAAGGGAAAATAAGGAAGGCTGGAGGGGACATTTTCCCCCAGCTGCATCTGCTCTGGGCAGGGGGGGGGATACAACTGTTCCCGGAATAACATGGTTTTCCCAGCTGGCCCATTGCTGGCTGCTGCATGGGGCTTCCCCCGCCTCCCTTCAAAGCAGCAGAGGGTTTGCCGCTCGCCGTGCCATTCCCTAGTGACCCCCCTTCGCCAGACACAGTGCTGGTCCTGGCAGATCTGTCACGGGCATACTCCCAACCCAATCCCCCTCCCCGCTCCTCCCCTTGTTTTTGCTCAACCAATTTTTTTTCCCTACCATGTTCAGGATTTTTTGTGAAAGTATCTGGCAACCCTAAACACTGCTCTAATCGACTCTCATGCTTCCAGGCTACAGGAAGGATGTTTCCCACCCTCTGCAAAAAAGGGCAAAACACCTAATTCTCCAGGCCTTGTTAGTAAGCAATTGTTCAGCCTGCTCAGAGTTAATATGCCTAGGCATTAGTGCCAGGTAGGTGGGAGGCCTTTAAGCATTGATCCTCCCACCTGGAGCTAAGGAAGCATCTCTGGGGCAGGGTGCTTGGCTACACAGGGGCTCCTTGCCCAGAGCTGAGATGAAGACACCCAGTATAGCAAAACTGGTTGAACTAGAGTTGAGGACCAAGTGTCCTGCAGCACAACTACAAAGTATCTTCCCTCTGGGAGCTTGTGGGAGGAGGCAGCAGTAAGAATGAGCTGGAACAGCTGAAGGCTGAGCCACCCCACTGAACAAGGGAAAAACCAATTTCCAGGAAAGCTGCTCAGATAGCAAAGAACTTGGAGATCTACTGCAGGGGCTGTGCTGGGTGTAGAGTAGGGTTTATAAACTACTGTTCCCCTGCCTGCCTACTGGGTGTTTGAGTTAAATCATATGTAAAGAATTCTCCCCCGTCCAGAAGTCCCAGCTCTGAGCCACCGGCCCCCGCTCCTCTCCCAGAGCCAGGGAGAGAATCCAGGTGTCCTGAGCTATTTTTGTGCGTGGAAGAATGCCCCCTTTCTATCCACCACAGGCCCCCAAGCTAGCCTTGCTCCTGTGGGGGAGCTGTATGCAGTCGTCTCGTCTCACTGGCCACAAGGACTCAAATTCAGCTGCTGCCTTGAAGAGCCCACATCCCTGGCACTACATATTCACCCCAGGCCTGGTGGAGCAAGTGGCTGTTCACAATGCATGTGGGCATGCTCTCTCTGACCTGCTGGTGGACTGGGGGGGTAGATGTGGGTTTGATTCCTGGTCAATGCAAGTGTTCTAGTTACTTTTCTTTTAAAGGCATCAGTGGCATCTTAGGGAGTCCGCCCCCACCCCAACAACAGGAGGCCGAGAGGACACCCCTGCTGTAGCCCCCTTGGGCACGGAGCCGGAGGCACTACACGCATGGCATTCATTCTGAGTACACACAGTAGGGGGCTTGGAGCCAGGCTGGCTCTTGGGTTCTCCCCCCAGCTCTGGGAAAGATGTAGGGGTTGAAGTGGTTGAGAGGAAGATTGGGGGCCAGGACTCCTGAGTTCTATACTCAGCTCGCTCTCTCCATCTCTTCCATTTGCCCATCCCATAATGTTCTCAATTCTCATGGACACACAAACACTCCTTGATCAAAATTAGTAAAATTTTTATTTCCCTCTCACAAAGGTACAGTTATTTCTTCCTCCATGCAGGGAGGTCAAACTTGAGAAACACAAAAAACCATAACAGAAGTTGGGGGGTGTCATTTACAATAAGCCTCTCATCCTGACCAGATGGATCATGGGTGGGTGGATGACAGACACCCCCTTCCACACACACATATACAAATAGCCCCAGAAGAAGTTTGATTAAAAGCCCTGGGTAATCAGGCATTCCCATAACCGTTCCCAGAGAATTTCCACGCTGGTTAAAAACTGCTCTAACGTCACAGGTGAAAGAAAGTTTAGGAAAAAAATAGTCCCCGTTTCAGAGGCTCGCTACCACGAGAATACAGCTTCTGCCATGGAAAGCAAGCCGGGCGCGAGGCAGAGAGAACGTGGCCGCAGAGGGGAAAAAGAAACTGAAGCCTAACAAAATGAAGGGCTCCGAGTGCCAGGGGAAGAGAAACTAAGGAACTGCTTGCAGTTCAGGCTGTATCATGGCAGGAGGGGCCCCCACATTGCAGCAATACTCTGCCCCTCCCACTAGGTAGTCTAAATGTGGGGGGGCCCCCAAATTGCAGCAAAACTCTGCCCCTGCCACTAGGTAGTCTAAATGTATGTACAAAGAGAATTAAAACAGGAGGCACAATTCAGCCCTGGTTGGAGGGGGGGGGGGGGTGTCACAAATCCACATACCCCCATATTTTTGCCCCCCTTGTACTACCCCACAAGGAATTAAAGGGACACAAGCCCCCTAGCCTACCCCAATGGAGATGAGATACTCCTGGCCCCTGGATTTCCAGAGGTGACTGTCCCCGCAAAGAGACATCAGACTCCTACCTGCCCACTCCCCCCTCCCCCTGCAAGGACAAGGGTGATGTCGGGGCCAGAAATAGTGTCCTCTCCTGGCCAGCTCAGTTGTCTTCATCACTGTCATCAGGGCTGATGGCTGGACTGGTGAGGCTGTAGGTCGGCGAGGTGGGGCTATAGCCAGGCGAAGTTGGGGAGTAAGTCGAGCCCTTCGGTGAGGTGGGGCTGTAGGTGGGGGAGGTGGGGCTATATTTGGGGGAGGTGGGGCTGTAGGTGGGGCTGGTCGGTAGACGGGGGAGGTTGGGGAGTAGGTTGGCGAGGTTGGACTGTACTTGGGGGTGGTGGGGCTGTAGGTTGGTGAGGTCGGGCTATACTTGGGGGAGGTCGGACTGTACTTGGGGGAGGTCGGACTGTACTTGGGGGAGGTCGGGGTGTACTCCGGCGAGCTGGGGCTATAGGAGGGGCTGGTTGGGGTATACTTGGGACTGGTCGGGCTGTAGCTGGGGCTGCTGGGGCTGTAGCTGGGAGAACTGGGGGTGTAGGTAGGTGACTGTGGGGTGTAGCGTGGGCTGGATGGCGAGTAGCTAGGAGACGTCGGGCTGTAGCTGGGACTGGTTGGGCTGTAGCTAGGAGAGGTGGGGCTATAGTTTGGTGAGGTTGGGGTATAGTTTGGACTGGTGGGGCTGTAGCTAGGAGATGTTGGGCTGTAGCTAGGGCTGGTAGGGGTATAGTTGGGAGAAGTCGGGCTGTAGTTGGGGCTGGTTGGGCTGTAGCTGGGAGAGGTGGGACTGTAGCTAGGTGATGTTGGGCTGTAGCTTGGGCTAGTGGGGCTGTAACTAGGCGATGTGGGACTGTAGCTGGGACTGGTTGGACTGTAGCTTGGTGATGTGGGGCTGTAGCTGGGACTGGTCGGACTATAGCTTGGTGATGTGGGGCTGTAGCTAGGACTGGTCGGACTGTAACTAGGAGATGTTGGACTGTAGCTGGGACTGGTTGGGCTATAACTAGGTGATGTGGGGCTGTAGCTGGGACTGGTTGGGCTGTAACTAGGAGACGTTGGACTATAGCTGGGACTGGTTGGACTGTAGTTGGGGCTGGTGGGGGAGTAGGAGGGCGACGTAGGGCTGTACGAGGGGGACGTAGGGCTGTAGCTGGGACTCTGGGGTGTATAACCTCCAGGTGATCGGGGCTCATAAGCTGGTGATGTCGGGGAGTAGCTGGGGGACATGGCCCCACCTGTGGTGGAGAGCAAGCAGAGAGGGAACCATTAGATGCAGGAGGACACAATAAGGAGTGAGGGGTCAAGTTCCGACACTCACCTGGTGATGGTACATAGGGGCTGGAGGGCCCTGGGGAGCCGGGAGAGCCAGGAGTGGGAGACCACGCTGGGGAATAGCCAGGGCTGAAGCCACTGGCATCAGAGGCAGCACTGGGAGAGAAACCTGCAGCACCAGGTGTCATGCCGCTTCCTGTAGAGGAGGAGGCACAAAGAGGGGTGAATTATGGGGGCAGATGTAGGGACATCAGGAAACTCCCCCTTCTCCCGACTTAGCATGCTGGCCAACCCCTGCCAACCACAGTCAATTTCAACCTGACAGAATAAGGGTGGGTGGGGCAGAACTCACCTCCAGCAAGGATAACTTCAATCCCCTCCTCCCAGTAAACCTCCCCCCCAAGCTAGGAAGGTCCTAAATAAGTGGGGAGCTTGCCCAGGCAGATACCCTACTGCCAAGGGAGCATTTTAAATTGGAACCAACTCCCCCTCCGCCCATGCTGAGACCTGGGTTAACCCCTCCCCCTCCATACGCACCAACACTTGGGGACCAGGCTCCATAGGCTGGGGTGGCGCCCTGGTTCCAGGGGGTCATGGCAGGCGACATCCCCCCCATGGGGCTGGGGGCAGAGCCGAAGAACATGCCGGTGGCTGCGGAGACAGAGCAAGGTCAGAGCTGAGAAAGGACACCCTGACTCCCTGGCTGACTATAGTATGAACCCCCCCCCCCAAATACTCCCCCAAAACTACTTTGTGCATTCCTCCCCTTCCCCCGCCCAGCTGCCAAGGAGCTCAGGACTGCTCCCCCACAGGGGGAAGCTGGTAGCCAACACTACCATGAGCATCCTCACCCCAAAATGAGCAGTGACCTGGTATGGAAAGAGAACAAGAATTCTAGCTCCCAGTCTCCCCCCGCTCCCCTCCCAGAGCCAGGGAGAGAAACCTGGCTCCCAGCAAGATGCCCAGCCCCACCCGCAAAATACTCACGGACGCCCACGCCCAGTCCCGGGATATTGGTGGGGATCTCCATGCCATATTTGCACTTCTCAGCATCCAGCAGCAAGTCAAAACAGCCTGTGCCGGCGGGGGCCAGCTGCCCCAGCATGATGTTCTCCGACACCCCCTTCATGGGGTCGCTCTCCCCATGGGCTGCTGCCTCCATCAGCACATCCACCTGCAGGGGGCAGAGGAGAGCCTGAGGTCAGGGGCCATGTTCTGCAGCACTGCCAGCCAACGCCCCTGCTGGGAGCAGCTGGGCTGGCCTGTGGACGTAGCCTGCTCACCGTCTCCTCGAAGGAACACTTCATGAGGGGCCCGGTATCCTGGCGGTTGACCCCGTGCCGGGTGATGGTCGCACAGCAGCGCCAAGTGGCGGTAGTTGACGTAGGAGCCGTCGAAGGAGATGACGTGGTAGAGCTCCCGCTCCAGGGCCTTGCGCACTGCCTCGATACCCAGCACCTGGAGAGGGGAATGCAAGGGTCACTGGTGCCCACCTGACGCGCCTACTCAGCCAGATAGTGTAGGATTGGTCCCCATTTCCACCGTGACTCCCCAGCCCCCATTACTCTCCCAGAGCTGGGAGGGGACCCAGGAGTCCAGACTCACGGTGAAGATCTCCACGATGTCATTGGAGGTGGTGCGCACGGGGTCCACATCTTTCTCGCTCAGCACGCGCATGAGGCTAACCCCGTCTGTTTCCAGGATCCACTCCTGCAGGGCCTTGAACTCCCCGTCCTCAGTGATAATGATCTTCTTCTTGTTATCTGTCTGCGGCAGGTGCATGTACACCTGGGGGCACAGGGCAGGTCAGTGCTGCACCCCTGGGCCCCTCACCCAGTACTGAGATGTGGGCACCCCCGGCACAGCTGGGCACACAGGGACCCCCTCCCCTGGTGCTAAGAGGTCACCACCTCTGCAGTGGGGTGTGGTAGCAACCGAACAGCAATGCAGCAATGGTGTCAATCGTTTAGGACAGGAAGTGAAGCACGACATTTCATAGAATCATAGAATCATAGGACTGGAAGGAAGAACTTTTCTTTATGCACCCTCTCCACGCCACTCATGCTTTTCATAGAATCATAGAATAATAGGACTGGAAGGGACCTCAAGAGGTCATCGAGTCCAGCCCCCCGCCCTCAAGGCAGGATCAAGCTCTGTCTACACCATCCCTGACAGATGTCTATCTAACCTGTTCTTAAATATCTCCAGAGAGGGAGATTCCACCACCTCCCTTGGCAATTTATTCCAATATTTGACCACCCTGACAGTTAGGAATTTTTTCCTAATGTCCAATCTAAACCTCCCCTGCTGCACTTTAAGCCCATTACTCCTTGTCCTGTCCTCAGAAACCAAGAGGAACAAATTTTCTCCTTCCTCCTTGTGACACCCTTTTAGATATTTGAAAACCGCTATCATGTCCCCCCTTAATCTTCTTTTTTCCAAACTAAACAAGCCCAGTTCATGAAGCCTGGCTTCATAGGTCATGTTCTCTAAACCTTTAATCATTCTTGTTGCTCTTCTCTGTACCCTTTCCAATTTCTCCACATCTTTCTTGAAATGTGGCGCCCAGAACTGGACACAGTACTCCAGCTGAGGCCTAACTAGTGCAGAGTAGAGCGGCAGAATGACTTCACGAGTTTTGCTTACAACACACCTGTTGATACAACCTAGAATCATATTTGCTTTTTTTGCAACAGCATCACACTGTTGACTCATATTCAACTTGTGGTCCACTATGACCCCTAGATCCCTTTCTGCCATGCTCCTTCCTAGACAGTCGCTTCCCATCTTGTATGTATGGAACTGATTGTTCCTTCCTAAGTGGAGCACTTTGCATTTCTCTTTATTAAACCTCATCCTGTTTACCTCTGACCATTTCTCTAACTTGCTAAGGTCATTTTGAATTATGTCCCTATCCTCCAAAGAAGTTGCAACCCCACCCAGTTTGGTATCATCTGCAAACTTAATAAGCGTACTCTCTATCCCAATATCTACATCATTGATGAAGATGTTGAACAGTATGGGTCCCAAAACAGACCCTTGAGGAACTCCACTTGTTATCCCTTTCCAGCAGGATTTAGAACCGTTAACAACAACTCTCTGACTACGGTTATCCAGCCAATTATGCACCCACCTTATCGTGGCCCTATCTAAGTTATATTTGCCTAGTTTATCAATAAGAATATCATGCGAGACCGTATCAAATGCCTTACTAAAGTCTAGGTATATGACATCCACCGCTTCTCCCTTATCCACAAGGCTCGTTATCTTATCAAAGAAAGCTATCAGATTAGTTTGGCATGACTTGTTCTTCACAAACCCATGCTGGCTATTCCCTATCACTTTATTACCTTCCAAGTGTTTGCATATGATTTCCTTAATTACCTGCTCCATTATCTTCCCTGGGACAGACGTTAAACTGACCGGTCTGTAGTTTCCTGGGTTGTTCTTATTCCCCTTTTTATAGATGGGCACAATATTTGCCCTTTTCCAGTCTTCTGGAATCTCCCCTGTCTGCCATGATTTTTCAAAGATCATAGCTAAAGGCTCAGATACCTCCTCTATCAGCTCCTTGAGTATCCTGGGATGCATTTCATCAGGACCTGGTGACTTGCTGACATCTAACTTTCCTAAGTGATTTTTAACTTGTTCTTTGTGTATCCTATCTTCTAAACTTACCCTCTCTCTGCTTGTATTCACTACGTTAGGCACACCTCCAGACTTCTCGGTGAAGACCGAAACAAAGAAGTCATTGAGCATCTCCGCCATTTCCAAGTTCCCTGTTACTGCTTCTCCCTCCTCGCTAAGCAGTGGGCCTACCCTGTCCTTGGTCTTCCTCTTGCTTTTAATGTATTTATAAAAGGTCTTCTTGTTTCCCTTTATGCCTGTAGCTAGTTTGATCTCATTTTGTGCCTTTGCCTTTCTAATCTTGCCCCTGCATTCCCGTGTTGCTTGCCTATATTCATCCTTTGTTAGTTGTCCTAGTTTCCATTTTTTATATGACTCCTTTTTTATTTTGAGATCGTGCAAGATCTCCTTGTTAAGCCAAGCTGGTCTTTTGCCATATTTTCTATCTTTCCTACACAGCGGAATTGTTTGCTTTTGGGCCCTTAACAACGTCCCTTTGAAATACTTCCAACTCTCCTCAGTTGTTTTTCCCTTCAGTCTTGCTTCCCATGGGACCTTACCTACAAGTTCTCTGAGCTTATCAAAATCTGCCTTCCTGAAATCCATTACCTCAATTGTGCTGGTCTCCCTTCTACCTTTCCTTAAGATCATGAACTCTATTATTTCGTGGTCACTGTCCCCTATACTGTCTTCCACTTTCAAGTTCTCAACTAGTTCCTCCCTATTTGTTAAAACCAAATCCAGAACAGCTTCTCCTCTGGTAGCTTTTTCAACCTTCTGAAACAGAAAGTTGTCTCCAATGCAGTCCAGAAACTTATTGGATAGCCTGTGCCTCGCTGTGTTAGTTTCCCAACATATGTCTGGATAGTTGAAGTCTCCCATCACCACCAAATCTTGGGCTTTGGATAGTTTTGTTAATTGTTTAAAAAAGGCCTCATCCACCTCTTCCACCTGGCTAGGTGGCCTGTAGTAGACTCCTAGCATGATATCACCCTCGTTTTTTACCCCTTTTAGCTTAACCCAGAGACTCTCTACACAGCTATCTCCTACGTTCATCTCCACTTCAGTCCATTTGACTGAAGCTGCAGGGTGGGTGGTACAGGAGTGATCCAGTGACACCCCCTGAAACAGGGCTGGGCCAGAGGCCAGGGTTCACACCTTGATTGATGCGACGGAACCGCAGGGTCCAGTGGACTTTACTGATGAGGACCCTGGACAGCAACGCCCACTACTAAGCACTTCACCCGGCTCCCGCAGCACAGCCCCCCTTAGCTACCTGGGGCTCCAGCCCAGCTACCCAGGGCAGGCGATAGCCCCTCACCTTGCTGATTTGCTCGATGCCCTGCAGAGTCATGTCCGTCAGCATGTTGGACTCGATGCAGCGAAGGAACACGTCATCATCCATCTTGTCCACCACCTCCTCCTCCTGGGCAGGGCGTGGAGAGGGGCTGGGTTAGCTACAGGCCAGGCCTTCTCACCCTCACCCCCACCCCCGTTTCTCCAGCACCCCCTGCTGGGAGGGGCTGTCCCCTCCGCCGCCACGCACCCACCTCCTGCATCTTGTTCTCATCGCTGTTCATGATGCGGATCCGCAGCACCAGCTTCTCTGCATTGTCGTCATTGAAGATGCAGTTCAAGTCGTCACCAAAGCCTGCACCAGAGAGGGGAGCTCTCAGCAGCAGCCCAGGGCCTGCAGAGACTCCTCCCACCCTGGCACTCTCCCTTCCCTAACCAGCTCAGCAGGCCAAAGGGTACCCCCGCAGGCAATGGGGACAGAACCCCATGCATCACCTCAGGCCCCAAGCTACCAGACAGCACAGCTAAGGTGCCCCAGGGCAGGAACTCAAGAGGAGATGGGCCCAGCAAGCCACCCACACCCCACCCTGCAGGCAAACCCCCAAAATCCCTGTTGATATGACCATGGGGTTGGGGGGAGATCTCCTTCCCAACTCCAAACCTGGCTAGATGCAGGCAAGATCCAACAGCCAGGAAGTTGTGTCAGAAAACCATCCCACCACACAACACACCTCCTGCTGAGGTGAGCTCGGATACTTCAGAGGAAGGTGCAGAAACAACGCCCACCCTGTGCGCGTGCGCACGCACACACGTGTATCTGGCCCATTTTGCACTAAACCTTCCAGACTCCAGAGCTGGGGGAGGTGAAGGAAAAAAGTCTCTGTCCCCGAATGCGAGAGAGAGACAGGGCCCATAGGTAGTCCCTGGCTCCTCACCCGCATTAATCTTCTCAGCAATCTGCTCCATGGTGAGCTTGCGGTCGGTCATGTGCTTGCGGTCGAGCTCGACACGGAGCAGCCAGGGCGAGATGCGGCTGACATCGAAGTCGGGCATCTCGTAGTAGACATTCACCCACTCCTGGTCTTCCGCCACCACAGTGCTCTGAGGGTTGGGGTCGTAGTAGATGGCTGTGTTGGCTGTCACCTTGCGCAGCGTTGTGTGCTCCAACCGGCACAGAATATCCTGGGGAGGGAGACAGGGTGAGGGGGGACCAACATGCCCTCAGCATGTCGCCCCCAGAGCAATGCTGAAGAATCCCTCCCTCCCAGAGCCCCATGGCATTACCTTGGCCCGCTCAGCATCGCGGGCGGACTGCCCCAGCAGGAAGACTGTGAGGGAGGGAGTCTTGGGTTTCTTGGAGATGTTGATCAGTTCTTTGAGGCGGGGAACACCCAGTGTGACATTCTTGGCCGAGACACCAGCGTAGTGGAAAGTGTTCAGAGTCATTTGGGTGGCGGGTTCACCCAGCGACTGGGCCGCCAAGGCACCCACCATCTCGCCCGGGTGAGCCTGTGGGCCAGACATTGTCAGAGCTGGGGATGGAAAGAGGGAACCCAGCCCAGAAGATACCCTGCCCCGCCTCCCTGCCAACGTCCCAGATCAGCACAACCAGCCATTTGCATTCCTGTCCTGAAGCCTGAGTGCTGCTTGATGTGCCCACCCCTCCCAGAACCATGTGGCAGGAAATTCCCCCAGCAGCAGAATACCCCCAGCCTCCTAAACGCAGGGAGGTTGATAGAGCTCAACTGCCCCTGCCCTCTCCCAGCACTCACAATGGCCTGGTTGAACTTGGATTCGATCTCGCCCAGCAGCCAGTCGAAGGCTTCCCCGCTGAGGCGGAACTCCTCCACCATGCGCCGGCTGCAGAGGGTGGAGCGCAGGTGGATGTTGAAGAGCAGGGTGGCGTTCTCCTGTGCCTGCCGGCTCAGCGGGTCATCCCCATTCACGATCACCAGCCTCTTGCTCAGCTCCTTCACACCTTGATCGTAAGAACATAAGCACAGCCAGACTGGGTCAAACCAAACGTCCCTCTACAGCCCAGTGTCCTGTCTTCTGACTGGCCAATGCCAAGTGCCCCAGAGAATGAACACAACAGGTAATCATCACGTGAATCCATCCCATTGCCCGTTCCCAGCTCCTGACAAAGGCTGGGACCCCTCCCTGCCCATCCTGGCTAATGGCCATTGATGGATCTATCATCCATGAATCTATCCAGCTCTTTTTTGAACCCTGTTAAAGTTCTGGTCATCACAATATCCTTTGGCAAGGAGTTCCACAAACTGACTGTGTGAAGACACACTTCCTTGTGTTTGTTTTAAACGTGCTGCCTATTAATTTCGTTTGGCGACCCCTTTATCTTATATTATGGGAACTAAGTAACTTTTCCTTATTTACTTTCTCCACACCAGGCATGATTTATAAAATCATAGCTCCCCCCTTAGTTGTTTCTTCCAAGCTAAAAAGTCCCAGTTTTATTTCTCTTCCCTCATATGGCAGCTATTCCCGAACCCTAGTCATTTTTGTTGCCTTTTTCTGAACTTTTTCCAATGCCAATGTATCTTTTTTGCGATTTGGGAACCACATCTGCACACAGAATTCAATATGTGGACATACTTTGGATTTATATAGGCGTATTATGTTATTTTGTCTTATCCTCTACCCCTTTCTTAATGGTGTTTTGATTGCTGCTGCACACTGAGTGTATGTTTTCAGAGAACTATCCACAATGACTCCAAGATCTCTCCTGAGTGGTAACAGCTAATTTAGTCCCCATCATTTTATACATATACTTGGGATTATGTTGGGATCAGGATGGGGCAGGCATGCCCCCAAAACCCCCCATCCTTCCCCCCCAGATCCTCTAGGCCTAACCTCCCTGCGCCCAGGCCAGGTTCATGGGACCTGCTGGATCAGTATCCTCCCCTGACCGGGACTGGACCAGATCATAGACCTCGCCCACTCAGTGCACCAGACCACAGCTCCAACCCCACCCCCAGACACATTCTCTCCCCCCTTTGAGCAGACACACCTCCCACACACAAAGATCAGCCCTGTGGGGCCCTGCATCTCCCCTTCCCCCCAAAAATCTGGTTCCAAGGTCCCTGCACAAGCATGTCTCCCACTCCAGGCCCCTGGCTGTCCCAGCATGCTGCAGGTCAAGAAGTTGTCTGGCCCCCTCAATGAGAGGGATGGGGAGGGGATGCTCACCTTCCACCACCTTGATGGGGTGCAGGTCAGAGGGCAGGCGCGCATTGATGTGGAAGATCTTTTGGGCGTTCCAGATCATGCGAAGCAAGTTGCAGGGCAACACCACCTGGTGGGAGGGGGTGTGACAACAGGGGCTCAGCACGTGGTACAGTCCAGATCCCATCCCCACACCACCAGATCCTGAGGTTTACAGTGAAGGTGGTAGTGGTGCTGGGGGCCAGGTCTCCTAGGTTCTCTCCCCAACTCTGGATAGGAGTGGGGACTGGTGGGTTAGAGCAGTGGGGCTGTGAGCCAGGACTCCTGCGTTCTCTTCCTGGCTCTGGGAGGGGAGTAGAGCCTAATAGTTAGCATAGAGACTCCCAGGCTCTGCCCTGCCCCATTCACCTTGCTGTCTCCAGTGGGGAAGATGACCCTCAGCACCTCACGGTCCTCCCGCATCTTTTCAAATTCCCTCTCCAGCTCATTCTGGATGTGGGCATTGCTCAGGATGTCCTTCACCATCTCCTCCTGCAGGGTGCGCCGCAGCGCCCGCTCGTTCGTGTAGTCAAACTTGAACCTGTAACATGGGGGAGGCGCTAGGTGAAAGATCTATGGGTGGAACATCCCTTCCATCCCCTAGCTCCTGCACCCCCCTTCCCTGCACTGCTTTTCCCCACCTGGGAGCTACTTCCAGCCCAAATGGACACTTCTGTACCAAAATGCAACCACCTCTGGGGCAGGATGGCAGGTTACACAGGGACCCCTTGCCTGGGACCTACATGTGACCACTTTTGGGGTAGGGTCACTCACTTCTTCTCAAAGGCCTTATTAGAGGGCTTGAGCGTGGCGAGGTTCTGGAACTCCACACTCTCTCCCGCCAGTCCGTCCTCGCCGTAACGCAGCTGCACCACCTGGTTGATAGAGTTGCGCACTGTGGCGTCGTACTTCACCATCACAGACTCCATGGACTTGATCAACCGCCGCTGGATGTACCCTGGGGATTGGAGGAGGGACACATCAGTTGAGTCGGGGGGCCACCACTGCCAGATTCCCAGTGAGCTACTTCCCAAAACAGCCCCGTCACCCTGCCCCTTCACCACGGAGATGGAATTTTACACTCTGCACAAAGCATGCCTTGAAGCATGCGTGGAAATTCCTTGATTCGGGCAGCCTCAACAGCCAGTCACATGGTGTGCGCTCTCACCGGATGGACCCTTAAGGGAATCCACACAGCCAAAAAATATCTATGGACAAGGATTTCTTAGACGCGGCCAGAAACACAGCAACTTTCCAGCAAGCTGGAAGACGCTATCAAAGGGGCAGATGTGATGTCATTTTGGCCTCACTCCCCAACGACACAACCCATGGAGAACAAGTAGTGGAGGGATTCAGTGCATGAAGTTTGTGATCAGCTTGTAGCAGGGCAACACCTGTTAATGCATCCCAGAATCATGTTTGCTTTCTTTGCAACGGCATCACACTGCTGACTCATTCAACTTGTGGTCCACTATAACCCCTAGATCACTTTCTGCCGTACTCCTTCCTAGACAGTCGCTTCCCATTCTGTATGTGTGAAACTGATTGTTCCTTCCTAAGTGGAGGACTTTGCATTTGTCTTTATTAAACTTCATCCTGTTTACCTCAGACCATTTCTCCAATTTGTCCAGGTCATTTTGAATTATGACCCTATCTTCCAGATTAGTCGCAACCCCTCCCAGCTTGGTATCATCTGCAAACTTAATAAGCGTACTTTCCATACCAATATCTAAATCGTTGATGAAGATATTGAACAGAGCCGGTCCCAAAACAGACCCCTGTGAAACCCCACTTGTTATGTCTTTT